AGGTCACACCAGCGTCAGCCCAGCATGAGGGAGGGGACGCAGTGGGGAGAGCAGCCAGGGATGGGGGCAGAGGCTGCCAGCGCTGGCCCTGAGGTACGTGAAATGTCATCACCCTCTGAGCTCTCGGCTTTTGGTGAAGCCCTCACGGGACAAGAGATCCAGTGGCACCAGAGCTATTTACACTGCTTTGTCTGGCAATCTGGGCCTGCTGATGGCACACCGTTTGTTAAATAAGTGCAAAAAACAAAGGCCACATTTCTTTCTTATTTATTTCACGAAAACCAAAAAGACCTAGGCCAGGAGACAATCTGACCCTTTTAGGAGGAAAAAAACCTCTCCTTCAAAGGAATATGAAGAAGAGTTTTCCCTCCAACTGAGGGCTAAGAAAATTGCTGTCAGATCTTTGAGTAGTCCTCCAGAAAAAATATGAAATGAAAATGCGGTGGTTTTTCATTAGAAGATGGAAGATGAACAAGTTGGGTTTTCTTTAAACAGCAAGTCCAACTTTTCTCCTTTACGTATCACATTCCTCCTTAGAAAAATGGATACTTCCTAGAAACCCTGAGTGAAAAAAAAAAGAAAAAAAGAAAAAAAATGTTTCAGATGAGATTGAAAACTGTGGTCTGAAGGAGTTTCATTTCTGGATTATTAATCAAAATGTAGTTATGGGGACTAAAAGCATTATTTCTTCAGATGTAAAATAAAAGATTCCAATCCAAGGCTTCAAGGACCAAACTTCTGATAAATATAGTCAGATCACATCAGTACTAAAGCGGTCCTGTCACTGGATCTCAGCCGGCCAGATGCTGCACAGACAGCTTTTCATAGCAAAAAGCAGCCAGTGCCAGCACTCCCAGGCTTTTGGACCCCGCTCAAGGTAAGGTGCAGGGAGACGCAGCAGCTGCGCCACAGCAGGAGGGAGTCTGCATGGCAGCAACAGGCTCTGTGCCTGGAAAACACACTACAACCTCTGGTCCAGATGCAGCAGTAAAACCAATACTGAGTTCCTGGCATGTCCTCCTAATACAGCTTTGGTGGCCTGTATCAAATGACTTGCTAGTCACAGTCTTAATAGGCAACTTCAGAGACCCATATGGCCATACTTTTTAATTGAAAGGCCAGGTTAGGAGGGCTGAGTGGCCTCAGATCAACATGTCCCTTTATCTTCTGGTGGGAATTGCCCTTGATGTGTGCATGGGAAAGCACATGTTGGTTCTGACACATGCCCATCTCCTCTGTACTATGGCTGCTTCCAATTTCCTTCTAGCAGCTCTCCTCAATACTAAGAAAAAAAGGCTGCTGTCACCTTGTTCCCAGTTAAAGCTCACTCTGGTCCCTCTTCAAAACGCAGGGTCACAGGGGCACAGAAAGATTCCCGTTTTTTACAGAGGGGCGTGCGAGAGGAGACATTGACCCACTGCCGGTGAGCAACAGAGTGATGTTACCTGCAGGGCTGCCCACCGACGCAGCCAGATTCTCCCTCCTCTCTCTTCTAACCTCCAGATGGGAACCCATACAAAGACCTGTGTATGGTCCATAACTCTCTCCTGAAGTAGGAGAGTAGGCTGCTAACCTTTCCGTGTAGGCTGCAATGCTTGTCTAAACTAACACACATGTAAATGCAGGAAGGGAAATTCAGAATTAAAAGAAGGATGCACAGGGCCCCATCATCACAAGACTAATCACTTACACAAATAAAGCCCACAAAAACTGCATCTCTGATGGGATTAACACGGAGCAGACTGGCTGTCAGCAAACATCACCCGCCCATAGGCCCCGGAACCGGAGGAGGGAAGAGCATGCAGAAGCAAGGAGATGACTCAGAGGGAGCCCTGGCTCCCTGCAGAGCTGGTTGCAGGCACAGCAAATCCACATCCACAGCAAACCCCCTCAGCCAGCAACTTTCCCAAGCACCGGCAACTGTGCACAGGTGCTGCTGAGCTCCAGATGTTTCCCATTAGCAAGGGCCCAGGTGTGTGGGGCCATTATAAGTGTGCCAGGGCAGGAGAAGGCTGCCCTGTAGGTTACCTGGTAACTGCTTGGGGCACCCTCTGCTTTTACAGCTGTATGTAGCATGGGTTCTTTTTCTCTTGTTGAGGAAATTCAAGGTAGAAAAGGATGAGGGGAGGGCTGGTGTGTGGTGTTCTTTAAGGAATTGATTGCTCTATTTCCATGTGTGATGGAAATAGTGGTGGAGAAGATGCCTTGGAGGATTACTGGGAAAGGCAGTGACTTCTGAGTTGTGTCTGACTTGCACCAATAAAGTGAAAAGCAGATTCTGTTGTTGTTAAATGACTAGTAACTGAATGAATTTGTATCTGCTAATTCTGGGGTACTTTTCCTTAACCAATGCCATCAAATGACATCTATGAGAGATTGCGGCTTCTGTGTATGTGGGATTGGGGTGGGGGACTTTGGTGAGTAGAACTAATGCCTTTGATAAGGCAGGGAAGAGGGTGGTTAGTCTGCCTGTGTAAATAATGCTATCTTCTCCCTCTGCCCATCTCCCTCTAACAAAGCAGGCCAGTATCGGCTCTACCTGTTCTGGTTCATATGGTGACATGGATGACTGGGACAACAGCGATGAATTCATTCAGCGACTGGATTTTTCCAGTTGTGGTGAAGAGAGTGAAGACAGAAGCATACATGAGGAGGATGCCCTGAACTCAAGCCCTGCCAGGAGCTGCGAGTTCCAGAAGTGGCAAGGGAGCAGTCCTCTGCAAGTAACCCCTCAGAGAAAGCTTAGTGAGATTTTCCTGAGCAGGACAAAAGCCTGGATGAGTCCCACCCTGAAGTCTTCCCCAGCTGTGAGAGAGAGCCAGGGTAATGCCGAGACACCACTACACATCACCTGGAAAAAGCTGCAGCTGTGTGACACACCACACACTCCCAAGGTAATGGCACGTATCAACTCTGTGTCTGAGCAGGCAGAGTCTCGGGCATCACTGTGTGGGTGGTGAGGAGATCTGTTGTTAGCTCTCTGGAAAGCATTTTTTTAATGCTACTGTTGTCAGCATCTACTCTTCCCTTAGAAACCTGGACCATTAGCTCCTTAGCTATTGAAGTGTTATTCTGTGAGTGTGAATAAACCTGTGTATGGGAGAAAGTGTCTTGACTCTTTCCAGCTTTGTTAAAACCAAGTAGTTGGCATTGGGCCAGTCTAACAAAAAACAAAACAAGCAAGCAACCATGTGCCTTGGCTGCCCCTGTGCCCCTCACACTCTGCTTAGAGGAGTGGACATCTGTAGCCTCTCTGTAGGAGGTGTTCACTGTGCTCCCAGAGGGATAAATGCATCTCTCCTCAAGGAGCTCATCATTCCAGGGGGAGCTTGGAGACAGGCAGCTGCCCTGATTGCTCTGTTCAGCACATTTTTGGATGCAAGTGGATTTTCTCTTGAAAGAGAAAGTTGGAAATGGCATTGTGGTTGGGGTATAATTTGTCTGGCATGTTTGGATCGCCTCCAACCAGCTGCTTGTCCAGTGACACGGATACTCTTTTTGTGTGAAACTGAGCTGCTCAGTGAATTTGGGGGAAGCGCAGGACTTTGTTCTCAGGGTAGCAAATCCGCTGTGGAAGGGGTAACAAAACAATGTATGCTTGTGAAGGAAGGCTAGCCTGTCTTCCCTTATGTCACTGTCCTAAAACGTAACTTATCTACTTGAGAGAGTTCCTCAATGATAGATGAGAGAATCCTCATAGAATGATGCCTTTTTTTCTATTTTCTGTGAAACTTCTTGACTAGAATGTAATAACAACTGCTTTTGTCTTCTGTAAGCACAAGTGGAGACTTGGTGTCAGCTTCTCTGTTCCTAGATAACTTCTGTTTTGTGCACTGGTTTCTAGCAGTCAAGACTTGCAATGAAATGTAGCTTTCAGTCCTCTCTCAATATTCTTGCTCTACTGATAGACTGGTTGTTCCTTTGCTTAAGTGGTCACAGAAGATCAGTCCCTTTAGTACTTCAGAGCTATGATTTGACTTCTGTCCCCCTCCAGAAACCTGATTATGTGGAGCGAAGGATGATTCTATGGCCACATATGACCAACTGTGTGGCCATATTTACTGAGGAATAGCTTGATGCTCTCTAGGGGAAAGCAGCTTTAAATGGTACCACTCCAAGAATTTCCTGCAATGACTATTTGTAAGAAATCTCCCCAAATCTCACCTGAAAATGGTGAGAGGTCTAGAATCTCTTCCAGACCGGATGGCCTGGAAGTAGTGCAGGGTGCTTTTAGTGTGTGCTCTTGTGTAGATAACATGTTGGCTGGATGCTTCAAGACTTGCTGCCTGGGGTTTGTCACCTTGTAGTCCATGAGCAGCAATTGCACTAAATCGACAATTTCTTTTCCTTTGTCTTCTGGGAGAAAGGTCTTGGCTTCCAAGCATGCTGCAAAAGGTGGGCTCTAAAGGGCCTAAATCTGTTTATAAATGAGGCTGGGAGCATTGACCTTGGAATGTTTGGAGGCAAGAGAAAGGGTAAGACAGTAGTGCCACATCTAACTGCAGACAGATGAGCACTGGAGCCCCAGCTAGGACACATGGCAGAGGAGGAAGATGGTTGTATTTTGCAGACTTACCAATCCTGGAACAGATTGCTGGAGCGAGTTATGGTAGCTGCCTTACACTGTATGGTAGCGGTTGCTCTCAGATGATGTTACAGGAGACAGGTCTGCTTGATTAAAAAATAGAGCCCTAGTAGAGCAGTTGGGAATTGCATGCATACAACATCAGACTGCAATGGTATTTTTAGATCCCTTTCTTGACTTGTGGCTAGACTAGAACACAGCCACTGTTCTACAGAGCTTCTAGGCTGCTGGGTAAATTTAGCTTGGACATATACTGTTTTAATATATATGCATATGCAGGACTTTTCCATCAAAGAGCAAGGAGGCATGGACTAGAGCTTGAGAAAGTGATCAAGAAGCACTTTCAGGGTCATAGTAAACCAGTATCTGAACTTCCAAGTACAGTATAGAAACAGAGGGATGTCCCAGAAGTAGCTATATCCGTGAGTGTAGCATCAATTAGGTGCATGCAGGATACTGCATGCAGCTCTAGGGTTTTTTTATCCTCAAAAACTTTCAATGAGAGGGGGGAAGAAATCTAGATACAATCCTGGAGCCACATCGCCACTTGCAAGAGCAAGACCACTGTTGGCTCAAAAAGATATAGAAATATCTTCATCTTCATGACAGGGAGAGTTCTGGGTTCTTGAAGGGCTTTTAACTAGAAGAAAAAGATACATTAAAAACCCTTTTAGACCTTACATCACTCTCTTTAAGCTGAAACAAGTAAAAAACAAACTTGTATTTCAAAAAGCTTATAGGTTACTGAAGGGATCAAATCATGGAAAATAAGTAGATTTTTCTCTCTTCAGATCAAGACTCAACCCAAGACTCTTGCTCAGCCCAAGGTTTTGGATTAGTAGGTGAAACCCAATGGCCTGTCTTCTGTGGAAAGATGAACTATGAAAGATCCAGAGGTTCCTTCTGAACTTAAATTTCTGAAACTGTTTTTTCTGCTCCAGGCGAACTGTTTTCTGGTCACTTTGACAGTAGCCATATAAAAAGATATTTGCCAACTTCCCTTATACTAATGCTGCTTATTGCTGAGGAAGAACTGAAAGGAAACTTGGGTGATGTTCTAGCTCATCTCTTTACAAACCTGTCCTGACCAAACTGATGCAACAGTCCATGCTTGACAGAACTGGGTCTTCCATGTTAGTGCAACATATGACTTGATTGGTGTGTCTCTGTAGGTGGGAAAGATGAGCAGCTGGCTCCTCTTGAGGACTGTGCTTGCCAAAATGGCTCTTCAGGCCTCACCCAAGTAAGCAGGGAATAGAGTCTGAAAGGGCTTAGTAAAGAATGTAATACTTCATGAAAGGAGAAGAAAACTGTCAGGACTAAATTAGGGGTGCAGGGTTTTCATGATTCAGCTATCCTGAAGAAGAGAGCTGAGTTCTCCTTGATTTGCAGGAGAGCAAAGACTTTATTCTGACAGCAGGAACCAAAAAACATTTTGCTGGTTTATCTGACATCTATTTTTTCCTTAATACAGAGCCTGTTGTCAAAGACAGCTTTTCCTTCATCTGGGACAAAGGTCCCACCCAAAGGCTTCCGACATCTGAGATTTACTCCTGGTGCTGACTCGGATGACTCTACCCAAGCTTCTCTTGTCAACATTAATCCCTTTACACCAGAGTCATATCGACAAATGCTCTTTCTTCCTAATGGCAAGCAGAAGACCAGAGGAGGGCTGTAAGTGAACGACTCTTAAATAACAGGATGGAAGGAGACTGTTTGAAGGAGATAAGTACTGATGGAGATGTTTAGTACCTGGACTTATTTGCTAAGAATGAATCATTCACTTCCCTAGTATTCATTGGTGCAGAACAAACATTAGCAGACACATGAAGGTAATAGAAATACAAACATAGTAACTTCCTTTGTTCAGAAATGTAAGCAGGAGATCAACAGCTAACCTCAATGCTACGGCTGTAGGAGAAAATTGTACCTCATTCTTTCTTGAATGTGGGTAGAGTGGAGCTTGATTGAGTTATGCACACACCTACAACTCTAAAGAAATTATGTGCATGTTTGCATATCATACAGCTTTTAAGATGGGTGCAGGCTACTGCTGACCTGCCAAAGTTCTGGATCTGGTCTGGATTAACCAAGACACAAACTTAGTCAAATACCTGTGTATTACAATGACATTCAGCTTCCTTTATAGCCTCAACCATAACAGTTGGTGTATCCCCCTTGAGAGCACCGTGGGGCAGTTCTCTCCTTCACTAGGAGGTGGTTGTGCAAGGTCATCTCCCATGTAGCTTCACCAGTAATTAAGGTGGCCAGGAGAATGATGCCTCTGAATCATGCTACTCTGTCCTGTGGGCACTACTGAAGTTAGTATGTGGAGCCTTTCTGAATGGAAACAGACATCCTAGCCAGGGACTACAGTCTTTAAGGCCTCAACTAGAAACTAATTGTGTATTAACATTCTACAAAATAAGTCTTTAGTTAAACTGTGAAGCAAGGTTTGGAGATTGTTTTGAAAAATGTTTTCATTTCAAATCTCGGTTGGATTGCTGCACTGAAATGATACATCCAGACTTTCCTAAACTTCTGTTATAGGAAGAATCCTGATCCAAGAAACCAGATAAAACAGGAGGTACCTACAAAGGTGAGTGTGTGTGTATTTCCCCCCACAGAGAGGATAAGATGCTTGTAAAGATTTGGTATATGATGAAATTTAACCTGCTATTGGAGTATAAATCATGGCATCATGACAGGGGACAAATACCTATGACAGGATAATTCCAAGCTGAATGTTTTATGTTAACATTTGTTTGAGATGACAAACTTGGAAATTGTTCCTATTTCTAAAGGAAACTTGTATTAAAGCAGATCTGAAACTTTGACAAGTAAACTTTAGGATTACTCACTGATTTTCGTCAGGAGGTCTTTCTAGGAAATATAATACAATTTGGGTTCCTCAGGGGAACGGTGTTACTATGTTATTGACTTAGCATAGATAGTGACTGTACCTTTGTGATTTGAAAAAAGCAGGACTACTGCTGTTCCTGTGAATCAGTGTACTGATCATCTTTGGATGTGAATAGAATACGGCTTCTGTATTGCAAATAATATATGGTCCTGCACTGTGAACACACAAAGACTGAGTTGAACGGCTCTGATGTGGTTAAGTACTGAGGGCAGAGGTTCACCTGCAGTAGTCGCAATGGCAGGCTCCTGAAGCAAGGCAGCAAATTTTGTACTCTCTTTCAGTAGGAAAATGTCCAGCTGGGGGATGTCTGAGTGCCTTGGGGTCCAAGGGGAGGCCCCACCATGGCTTACATAGCTACAGGACAGCCAACACTCTCTTAAAGCTCAAAACCAAGTTCTCTTGCTGTTGCTGATATCTGTGCTTTGCTGGCAAACCTTGGTGGCGGGGTGTGTTGGCCTGACTGCGCAGGGCAGGGTGCGAGGTCTCTGCTCTGCTGGCAGAACTGGGAAGCTGGTGTGGGAACCTGCATCCTGCATCCTCCTTCCTTCTTCCCGGTTTTATCTGCGGGGAAGCTACTCATCCAACTGGCTTCTGGAAAGCAAGCCAAGCCTGAATTAAATACCTGTGTTCAGATGAGGTAAAAATCTCAATTTTCCTGAGCAACCTCTCGAAGGAAGTATCTTGTCTTGTGCAGGTAGGTAGAATTGTTCATTATAATTGTGAATTGATTAGGCTTACTGGAAGAATAATGGTACCCTCTAGCCGAGAAGACTGGTATTGCAGAAAAACTGGTCTCTCTGGAAAAACTACAGCTGCAGAAAAAATCTGCTACCAGGTAACATCCAGGGTTACCACAATTATTGTTTTACCTAGAAGAAAGCCTCAAATAACTTGTGACTTATAGAAATATTATTCTGCTCCAGTGCTGATTAGAATAAGCATATAATACAGGTATAAAACTGTAATATAGGTGCATTATGAAACATGACCTGTTGTGAAGGGCTGCTGTTTCATATGGGCCACATCTTACTGGTTATGAGGACCAACTCTTTACCTCTACCCTTTAAGGTCATACACTATATTCTACAGCAAGTGCAGGAGTGGTTTCTGTGGAAACCACCATGTAACGTGAGCCACTGCCCCTGTAAGGGATGCAGGAGAATGGAGAAAAATCACTTGGTCCATTCTCTTCCTTCTTTACCTCTCTCTCCTGCCAGTAGACATCACTCTACAAGCAGTACCAGCAGCTCCTATTTCCCTAGTGACCATTACTGTAGCAATAATCATGTTCCAACTGTTCTGCAGGCTTTCAGCCCTTTGTGGAAAAGTGGCTCCCAGTTAGAAATCGCTGGGAATACAAGCAGATGCACTGAAACCCACTAATCTGCCATCAGTCAACAGCTGGTGCTTCAAACCTGCTGAAAGCCTGAACTGATGCTGAATGTCCTTGCTGCAAGCAACCTTAGCTGCCAGAGCGAAGCAGCTCTTACACAGCTGGGACCACATTAAGCCAACACACCAAGCTTCTCTCCTGAGCTCAAAATAGGCAATAGCTCTTATTTAAACACAGCCTTGCTATGCGAGTCTGGCAAATTCAGAGGTACTGGACTTCCACCTACCAAGGCTGGTAACAGGTCTTCTCAAGTCTGCAGTAGCTGGGCAAAAGACATGTATTTTGTTGTTGCTTGCTGTTCATCCCTGATTGACTCCATCAGCCATGGGTCTAGGAACTGGGCAGGGCTGCCAAGAGGTGTGATGGTAGTAACCCAAGGAGGCTTAGGCACATACAGCCAACTAAACTACAGTTTCCCTTCACTGCAATTTCTACCTCTATGGCTAGCAAGTCATGATTTAAAAAAAAAAAAAAAACCAAAAAAACCAACCAATTTAGACAAACCAGGCCAAGATGGCCTTTGTTATGTGGTCAGAAAAAAACCCAACATGCCTAAGTGAAAGGTAGTGTTTAAAGAAGAACTGTCAGCATACCTGCAAGCATGCCCGGATGAACATCCGGAATGGGAGAGGGAGCAACATGGGTGCTCTTGAGAGCAAGTGCTACACGGGTCTAAAAACATGACAGATGTTATTATCTAAGTCTTTCAACTCATATTTGTTTCTGCTGTTTTTGTGACCTTATAGAGATATCCTCTGAAAGAGAGCAATATGGTTTCCCGCTACAAGAAGGAGTTTCTGGAACTAGAAAAAATTGGTGTGGGGGAATTTGGCTCTGTCTACAAGTGCATCAAACGCCTTGATGGATGTGTTTATGCCATCAAACGCTCCAAAAGGCCTCTGGCAGGATCCTCAGATGAGTGAGTGTGCTAGCTAGAAACTGCCAGTTGAAATGATGGGCATGTTCTTGGGAGGTGCGATGGGGAAGGAGGGAGTGTGGATCTAAAGGTATCTGAAGGGTGGCATGAGCAAAAACTGGCTGTTGTTGCACTCCCAAGTAACAGTTGGGAGAGTGGGGGAAGTTACTACTTCAGGACTACTGGATATAAATGTCTGAGAAGGGGAAGAAGCCACATGCATTGCAAAGTGAGATGACAGCTTACCTGAACTCCTCAGGTTGCCATGCAGCCAGCCTCTTTAAAATAATAACTGAAATTGTTCATTTGTGGTATGTCCCTTCCCTGCTGTGCAGCCAGCACTGCTTATATCTATATTGACCAGCTAGTGTTATATTTATATATAACATAGTTATATATAAATTGGTTATATATATATTGACCAGCAGTGTGACCAGCTGCCTGATAAAGCAAAGTCTTTGAAGCTGTCTTTGCCTTTTTAACAGAAGACTTGCTCAGTGATTTTTTTTTTGAGAGCTGCGCAGCACATTTGAGCAAGGGCAGGTTTTGCTTCAGCAGCTGTGAGAGTCAGTCCATCAGCACTGCTCATATCTATATTGACCAGCTAGTGTTGTCCTGCCTGATAAAGCAAAGTCTTTGAAGCTGTCTTTGCCTCTTTAACAGAAGACTTGCTCAGTGATTTTTTTTTTGAGAGCTGCGCAGCACATTTGAGCAAGGGCAGGTTTTGCTTCAGCAGCTGTGAGAGTCAGTCCATCTGCCAAAATCCAAGAGAAAGTCCTAAACACCTCTGCTTTTCTTTTCTCAAGCCAGGCTGCAAACCAGGGCTCCTCTTATGTCCCTGGCACCCTGTCACCACTGCTTTTTCTGTGCGTGCTTCTCTAGGCAGCTGGCACTGCGCGAGGTTTATGCTCATGCTGTCCTTGGACACCACCCCCATGTTGTGCGCTACTACTCGGCATGGGCAGAGGATGATCACATGATTATCCAAAATGAACACTGCAATGGTAAGAGCTGTGACATCATTAAAGGCTGAGACCTCGGGATGGGTGCAGTTACCTTCCCTTGTACTTAAATATGTGATGTTTTTGCTTACAACAAAAACAAACTGCACTGGAGCTATGGTACCATGGAGAATCCAATAAGGGCTCATAATATTTAGACAAAACTCTGGTGCCATTGTCTTATAAATAGTGAATACCCAAGTTGGACTTGATGATCTTAAGGTCTTTTCCAAAGAATCTTTTCCAATGATTTTATGATTCTACCATCTAATTTGTGGGATTTTAAAACTCTTCCTCTATGTTGGCTGGCCTGGAAAAGTATTCCTCATGCCTGCCGGTGCTGAGAGCTGTGTCTGGAACTGCCTGGGTAAAACCTGATATGAGTGACTCAAGAGCAGTGAACTTAAGTGCCATATATCTTGGAAACGAACTCTTCTAATGAAAGGGAGCCACTTTCAAGAGTGGCTACCTGGTTGAGATGAAGGTACCTTGCATCTTGACTAGAAGAAAGGGCTTGACAGCTGCAGAGAAACAGAGCTAATTAACGAAGTAAACTGTAAATGGGGTGCTGCAGGCAGGATGGTACACTCTTGCTTGGGTTTGCCCTTGGCCATACCACTGTTTGGGAGACATTGGAAGAGACACCTCTGGCTACTGAAGGCAAATATGTAGTTCTCCTCTTTCAACTGCTCCTGCAGTCTTGAGGCTCAGTGCTCAGTGGTGATAGCTGTTTGGAGAGGTATCTTCAAACCTGGTGTAGGTAACCATGAAATGTGGTGATTGTTGCTGCAGCATTGATGCATTTCCTGTGTTCTAGTGGTTGAACATCTGAGACTACAGAATTGGTGAAAAGCAGGCTGATGGGGAGAGAGGCCGGTGTATTTGCTAGTCCTGACATAGCCAGAGTGCCTTAATGGAGACCCACAAAACTCTGTTTCTGTGTCAAATGTTACATTCTTCAATCAAAAATCTGCTAGTGGGAGCTTAATTTCCTTCCTCCACCATTCATATACCTGCTTTCTGCCTGTAAGCATGGCAAAAGCAGTTAATTTTTCCACTGTTCACTTGCAGCAGCAGCATCACTACCAGGTCAGCCCTTCTGGTGCTGTAGGTAGAACTGCAGTTGCTCAGTCCTTGGCAAGCACGAGGCAGGTTGCTCCAAGGCAATGGAAAGGGTGAAGCCAAATGGTGATGTCTAAGTTTGATCACTAGAGCATATATAGCTGGGTCTGGTTGGGGTTTGTCACTAGCAAAACTGCAAATGCTCTGGGCAATAGTTTCTACTATGATGTTTCAAACATGCTGCCCCATAAAATCGTTGTCAGGTCTCAGACTGGCTGTTTTCACCCAGGTGGGAGTCTCCAAGATGTGTTGCTGGAAAATGCAAAGCTTGGCCAGTATTTCCTAGAAGCAGAGCTGAAAGAAATATTGTTACAAGTCTCTATGGGGCTAAAATACATCCACAACTCTGGCCTTGTGCACCTGGATATCAAACCTAGTAAGTATAATGCCCTCCTTTAGGGTCCTTCAAGTGACCCTCCAGGGGTAGTACCTGTAATAGGTCCTTCTGACTGGACCTATTACAGTGCTTCAAAGGAAAGAGGATCTTTCACTAAAAAGTAGATGTTTTGTGGGTTTTTTTTTAATCTTGCCACTACTGCTGCTCTAAAACTAAGCCTTCTCTGATAGTTGGCAGCATTTTACTTCTGTCTCATGATCTTTATAATCCTGACTTATGGGAATCACTTTCATACTGGTGGAGCAAGTAGGGCTGCTAATGAAGATGGGGACTTCCTTATTTGCTGCTGTCTTGTTGCACAACACTTGACCTTTGTATGTGAGAGCTGGAGTGAGAAGTGAATATTTATTGTACCTAGCCTGAGGGATTAAGTTCCTGCAAAAAATAGTAACAAGCTTTCTCCTCTGCAGCTGAGGATGGGCACTCCAGAGCAATGCTCCCTTGCCACAGTCATAGTTACATCCTTACAGTGGAACTTCTTTTTCCCTGATGAAATCATGCTTCTAGCTGGCAGGGCAGAGGGAGGGGCAGAAAAGTTGATTGCACTAGGATGTTTATGCACAAGATACAACTGGGTTCTGTTAGCTGTACTGCGGAAAAGGTGAGCTGGGCAGAAAGCAGACTAATGGGTGGGAAGCATGTGCATAGTTTCTCTAGCTGCAAAACTTAACCAGCTTGACAGGTGGGATTTTTACAGAGTCATCAGGCCGCTGCAGTCTGGCTGCTGCTATCACACTGTTGCTAAACTTCACTGTCTTGCAGGTAATATCTTCATCTGTCACAAGCTGGCAGTTGCAGGCCCTGCTGGGCAGGAAGAGAGTGACAGTGAAGACGAATTCTCTTCTGGTGTGGTGTATAAGATTGGTAGGTTTTAGCGATTTTACAACTGACCTAAGATTAGGGCTGCTCATTACTGCTTGATATTGCTCTGTCCTGCTGGCTGAAGAGACTTGCATACAAAACTGATGGCATAATCCTGAATGCCTCTGCTATTTACCAGAAGTAATTCCTCTAAGAAGACAAGTCCTAGAAAACTCATGTGCCTGTTTCCAAGTCCAGATTCCTGAGCAGGAGCAAGATTGCCCTCTTACTCAGTATTTCCTAACTGCTCTGTTGGTGCCTATAAAATGCAGGCTTTTATTGACGGAGGAGATCTACATCAGTTTGCTCCGTCAGTTGCTCATTCTTTGTCTCAGGTGACCTCGGCCATGTGACATCAATAACAAACCCCCAGGTGGAGGAAGGAGACAGACGGTTTTTGGCCAATGAGATTTTGCAAGAGGTACAGCTGCTGGTGGGGTGGTGGGGAGAACAGGGCGGTGAGAACAGAGTGGTGAGCAAGTGGGGAGAGACCAACTGTAGTGAAAATATTAGTCTGGCGTATTCCTTGCCTTATCTCCTCTTTCTTGTGTCTGGTCTGGCTGTGAAACCAGTGAAATTAACACTTTATTAAGAATAGTATAGGCATGGGTCTTGTCAGATGAATATTTAACATATTTTATAACTAACTTTAGCATTAGATTATTGCAACTATTCCATCTGAAAGGGATGAATGGGACAAAATATTTGTCAGTTTGGAGATGTTTCATTTACACACTCAGCTGAGATTAAACTGCTGGATGTGATCACTGAGGAATATATGCACCCAGACAAATGCCTTATACAACAAGAACTGACCAGGTAGTGTGGAGAAGTGAGAGGCACAACACACCTCTTAAACTGCAGTTTTGCACTGGCCAGTGAACAAAAAGGGAATCAGTATGTAACAATCAGCTTGGATGTGTTCATCAACTTGGGTATTTAAGTGACAGTATCTTTTTTTGTGCTGCAAGAGGATTTAGGAACTGGTAGGTCAATATATCACATGCAGTCTTTAGTTTGAGTTGGGCAAGTAGCTCATTGCCTTGTGGTGGAGGCTGGAGGGACATGTTTGTTAGGCTGTCCTCTGGATTTGCTGCGGTGATCCTAATGTAGGCTGCAAGCTCCTCATGACTGGGTGAAAGCCAATGTGGTGTTAGTTACCAATACTACCTGCTAGCAATCTTTTTATCCTAAAGAGGAGAAAACTACTAACTGGGATGGTGAAGGCAGTGTCATACATCTACTTGTTCTGCTGTTTCTTTTTGAACAGGTATCCCAACACATCTTTGTTCAGTATAGCAAGCAAGATGTTCCCTTTCTGTAACTGTTTATCTTCTCTCTGCAGCAATACTGCGATTTGCCGAAGGCAGACATCTTTGCTCTGGCACTCACTGTAGCTCTAGCGGCTGGCACAGCACCGCTGCCTCACAATGGGGCCATGTGGCACCACATCCGCAAAGGCAATATCCCACCGATCCCCCAGAAGCTTTCTCATTGCTTTCTTGAACTCCTTAAGGTGAGGAAGTAGTCTTGACAAGATGGAGGTTTTTCCAGTTGGCATGTTATAGAGGGAGTGTTAAACGCTGAACTCCTTTGCCTTCTAGCTCATGATCCACCCTGATCCAGTGGAAAGACCTTCTGCCACAGCTCTTACTAAACATCCAGTTCTCCGTCCTTCACGTGGCAAAGCTGTGCAGCTCCAGAAGCAGCTGAATGTGGAGAAATGTAAGACTGCCATGCTGGAAAGGTAGGGCTCGCTTGGGCATGAAGAGAAGACACGGGCGCAACAAGTGCTCATCGCCAGGCTTGAACGTAGGGTGGTAGTGTTGGGAGAGCCAACGTGCAGAAACACCCAGTGAGCTCCTGTGCCTGAAGCTGGGAGAGTGATGGGGCTGCAGCAGGGACTTCTGTGCAAGCAGCTGTAGTTCACTCCGGGCTTTGGGGAGTTGGCTAAATTAGAGCAGTGAACTTGCATGCTTACTGCAACCACTGGTGATGGAGAATACTGATACAACTGCCAGTTGGCAGATGAGGAATTGATACTACACTAAGATAGTGGTCTAGCAGAGAAGGAAGGGAAATATCAGATGGTAGCAAACATCTTTCCCCTTGCCCCCTCTCACTGCAGTAATATTTTGAGGTGCTGGGATCTAAGAACTGCCCCACTAACCCTCTTGGTGCAACAGTCAGCTGGGGAATAGGTTTTCTATGTAGACAGAAGAGCATATGCTTTGGGAGAGCAGCAAACATCACAGGGAGCAGGGGGGAAGGCAATGGAAAAGCAGCATGTGCCTTTGTCAGGTATTTGTGCTGCATGAGGTGGCACTGATCTAAGTTCCACCATCACAAATATCTGAAACAATGTAAGAAAACTGAGCTAGGAACTTTTCATACTGCTGCCAGTCTAGGTGTTTGTTTGTGACCTGGTGCATAGTTTTCTTTGGTAAACCTTCAAAGCTGATCTGTTCTTTATTAGAAACTCTAGAGATACCTGCAGTAATCTTCATGTCACCCTCTGGGGTCAAAAGGCACCACTCTCCAGCAATGCAGTAACCCTCTCATGCAAGATTGTTTATAGCTTTCTTCTGTAGTGGATGGGGGATTCATGCATGATGTGGTTTTCTTCCTCTCTTCTTCCTTCCATCTCCCCCCTGCAGGGAACTTAAAGCAGCCCGCCTTGCCCAGACCCTCAGGAAGGACCAGCTCTTAGGAAGTGCCAAAATGCAAGAGTCTGAAACCTCTTCTAAGCAGAACAGCAAGCGCTTGGTGGGAGGGAAGAGCTGTCGCTCATTTAGCTTTACTTTGGGTTACTGAACTTCTGTGTTGTCCGAAATGTTCTGGCTGCTGAATGGCCCTGTGAAAGCAGAGGGTCTGCACAGACCAATGCCCCAAATTAGCTCTCCCTGTCGTGGTTTTTTGGTCCTCTCATTAGTTATGATGTTGGCTGAGGGAAGGATGACTAGCTTACAGGTGTCAGATCATGGGATTTAAGAGTATTGCCCTCGGCCTTTTATCTGTTTAATTTCTTGTGTAACTGGTCTTGTTCTAGACTCAGAACTTAGTTCTGCCATACAAGGGAAAGGATGGCATTTCCTCTACACACTTCCCATTTTGTTTAGTTTGGCCCTATTACTGATGATGTTTCTGTGGTCTTAACACTCTGGCCACCTGTGTATCTTTAGAGGGGAGGTAGTGGCTGTACATGGAGACAGCTTTACAGCTGGGTCCTCCTATAGAAGTGAGGTGGTGGAGACTATGGCAGGCAGTTTTAACTATGCATCAGGACACAGACTGGTTACACAGCAGTCCTGGTGGACTTGGAATGCAATCTGAGTGGCATTTTGCTGGGGGGGCGGGAGAGTAAAAGGAAACACTTTTGAGTTAAAGGAGTCTTACTTGTGGAAGGAAAACTTCCCCTCTCTTAACTCTCAGCAACAAGCACAATATCATGTAGCTGATGTGGTTAAGCTTTTGCAGACTAGTCCCTGATGCTTGACTTGTTTTATGCTGACTGGCAAGGACCCCTTGCTTAGTGGGGCAAACAAGTGTTGTGTGCTGGTAGCTGGGCCTGTTGTACATCTTTCCCTTCCAGTATGTCACATAGCACAGCAGCCTTTCAGCAAGGTTGAGGGAAATCTGAAAGGGCTTTTCAGGCCTTGTCAGGTTTTTTTGGAGTCGCCCATGTAAACTGTGTATACGTTTAATACTTATTAAATCTCACCCCCTGCTTAATGTAACTTTCTGAATCCTTGTCGGATGTATGTCTAGCTGTGGTAGTTAGATCTGAATAGTGTGCTGTTACGAGGGAGAGTGTGAAGTTGGTAACTTGATCATTTTCAGGTTTTACTGAAATTTGTCTTCAAATGCTGGACCGCGCTGCCTTTTAAACTGTTAGATCCTCTCCTTTAAGAAGCGAAACGCGCAAATAAAGATTTTAATCCTTTTACCTACGACGGAGTGACGACTTCTTTTTTTTCCTTTGGGCCCCCTTCCCCGCCATCCGGGAGACCTCAATCACCCATGGGCGAAAGTGTGACCATGGGGTCCGGGGGCAGGCGCTG